GAAAAGGCGCCGCGCCGCCGCGTGACCCCTCCCAACTCACTTAGCACCCTTCTATTTCCACGCCAAGTGCTTGCTACTATTTTGTCACTAATTCCAACTGTAGCGCGCTTGGATTTCGTGAGTTCGTTTGAAGAAGCAATTTTATTTTAACCGTTCCTTCTTACTGCTTTTGCTCGCGCTTGTCGAAGATTGCACCAAAGATGAAGGAACAAATGGGATAGCAATGAGATACGATCGTGTTTATTCATTGGAAGGTTCTGCGGCTTGAATTATTTTCCCGCGCGCGCATATTTGAATGCAACATAGGGCACTCTAACGTTACAGCGGCCTTCCGCGTTGCTGGCTGTATTCTCCTGCTATTCTACGCCAAACTATTCTTACTGATTATATTCTTCTCTTCTCTCTACTGTAGTGAATTCAATACCATATCCTACTCTTGCTGCTTGCTGCCTCATTTCTGTTTTTTCCTGCTTCTTAAGCCAGCACAATGATGGCTCAGCAAAAGTTAGGGCTGTAGGTGAGTGAACCCCTTATGCAGCTTCTCCTCCTGAGCTTTACACCTGTTGTCATGAGCATATAGCGTCATGACCCTGGTGTGGTTTCAAGAAGGAGGCAAATATTACGATCAAATACTTCACAATGTGAAGATATCCAATGTGTTATTTCATTCCATTCTTCACAAATCATAATAGTGAAATATTCTTGAATTGATTGTTACATTATACTAATTCACTAACTAGTATCTTACTGGTTTTCTAGGCGTGGAACCTTTGCCTTGGGTTGGTTTATATGTCAACCTGACAGTTTGCAGATTTGCCTATCTATCTCACCGTCCGTCCGAATCCCCATAATTATTATCAAGATAAAGATGTGGAAAACCATTTTCAAGATGGGTTAGTAACCGTTGAGAAGAAGATGAAAGTGTAGTGTGAATGAGGGCACTAATTACATCACAAAGGTACCAACTTTGCCTTGTTAATTCTAACCAATTGATGGCCCCTAAGATAATTTGTGACGTTCGATCAGATCCACAAATTAGATCTACAAACAGAAAAGCAACCAAAGTGGTAGCGTTGGTACAGCAAATTTTGGTACTTTAGCACTGCGAATACAACAGGTTTCAACAGCGCCTCTTTCATTATTTTCATGGTTTGGTAGGGTTGCACCTATAACCAACCGCTTTCTGCAATAAATAATGCACTGCGAGTTTTGAATGGTTAGGATTGTGACATTACCTTCCTTATAAGAGGAGCTTGAAAAGTCACCAAAAGATCATTGTACAGTGATCTTACAATGAACTTGTCAATACGGATTTGACAACGGATTTTCCGTGTCTTAGTGGGACCGTGTTATCTTTTTATGCAAGCACACGAAGGTTAGTGAATGGGACACTAATTTAATCAAGCATTTATGCTTACTTCATCTTAACTGCAATTGCTTAGAGAAATGAATTGAAATACTACGAAGTAGAAGCACAGCTAGCATGTTCGGGCATGAGTTTTATTAAAAGAATAGAAATCAAATCCAAAGTTTCGAAAGGATGAGGACCCAATAAGCACACAGGGTCGTGACGCTGCATGCTCACGACCACAGGTGTTAATCTTGAGAGAAGGACCTGTACAATGATTGCTTACTTGTAGCATTATACTTCACAAGTAACAGGGGCCACGGATCTATTTACGGAAGAAGCGGCATCGTAGGAGAATAAGACGAATTAGATTTACTAGCATGGTGGTGAGAAGAGGAATAATCAGGCGAAAGGGCTAGGATATTAGAAGAATCACAACGTGACAGGTCGCTGCGAGGCAAAAGCGCTCCATTGGACAGTGCATTCAAATATGCGCGCGCGGGAAAATATTTCAAACCGCAGAACCTTCCAATGAATAAACACGATCATGAGATACTTTCACCCTTTTTCCAAAGGCCTTACTAATCAGAGGAACAGTCGTATTATATCCTACTTCCACTCACGATATGACTTCGTTATTCTCGGTTTGATCATTTTTTCTTCGAGCACTGAGAAAACAATTTCTTTGTAGGCAATGGAAGAATTAGACCGTCAAATCCTTCGAATTTGCAAGAAGTTGAGATGGTTTGTTTGTCTCCATTTTGATCTTATTTTTTTCTTTACATACTTGATTCAAAAACTTGTTTGGGGAAAATATTAGTTGGGTGGGCCACTTCGTTATGCACCTCTTACGCCAAGGACTAGGAGATAGAAAGGATTGGGGCACCAATTCCAGGGGCCTGTGCTACTTCTTAAAAGCAATTTTAAGCCAAGGGTTGATTTTGGCCCAGGCCTCGGAAGGAGGGAAGGTGGGTGAAATGGCTATCCCGCGCGAAATTCGTAATGGAAGAGGAGTTGACTAACAGGGCAATATTTCACAGAGCGAGCACAGACCAGTGCTCGAAAATAAGTGATCCCTCTGACTGTTCTCAACAGCTCCTTTTGTAGATCTTAGCAAATCAATTAAGGGTACTAACCAAAGTTTGGTAATTTACTTACCATGGAACTTTGAATGGAGACCCATATTAATCGATAGCGGTCGAATGCTGTTTACGAACATGGAATTTAAAACTGCTTTTCTAAAGAAGTTAGGGGGGCTCGAAATTTGTTTGGCAAATGTGTCACTTGGAAGTGCGAAGTCGTCGCTTTGATATCAAACGTCGGCGTGGCGTAGTGGTAGCGGTGTCGCTTCACAGGCGGAAGATTCGGCTTTGCTCCTCGACATTCTTGCATTGTGTTCTTTGCTTTCATTAAAGGCTTTTGAAATCTTTACTGACATTTGCTTGAGTGAACGCCTTATTCCTGCTATCATTTGCCACTTGTTCAAAGAAGTATGGATCTACAAGTTGACTGTATGACTGCTTTACTTTGAACCAAAGAAACATTCGGCAAAATGCTAGAGATGTATGAGGTGCCTGTGAGGAACTCAAGATAGATGGAGAAACCTGAAAAAGATATGTGAAGCACACACGTTGTTCACAAACTGCCCACCCTATACATGCTGCTTCTCATCAACCGTAGACAAAACAATTATTAGTCTCAAGAATGAGTGCTACTCGCCACGTATGGCACAGAAGCCTATATTTCCATCAACATATCCTACTCGCGCCAAGTGATTTAGATTTGAAAAAAAAAAATTGAAAAACGAGTTGCACAGATCTCTTGGTAAACTTGTGATAAAACTTGACGTGTATTGTCTCCCTGTGTCATATCAAATTCCGCGCTATTCATCATAGTTCTTGATCCGATCCTCATCATTACGTTTTTTTTTCAGAAAAGAAAAAGAAGACTTGTAATGATTGAGTCATTGACGAAGCACTTATACGCGTGGGTAAGTGTTTAGGTCTTACTAGAGAACGGAACACAAGGTTTTCGCTAACCTCCACCTGGACGGCCGCCGCCTTCTAGAGTGGTTCTGTAGGGTAAAAAAGTGAGGTTTCTACTCAGTCACTCCCTTATGTACAGGCAAAATGATATACACATGAGATCATTGGCCGCATTCATACTAGGTGCGGTAGGCGGCGGACTAGGGCGGTAGACGGCGGACTAGGGCGGTAGGCGGCGCCGAGTCCGCCGCCTACCGCCCTAGTCCGCCGTCTACCGCCCTAGTCCGCCGCCTACCGCACCTAGTATGAATGCGGCCATTCAGTATCAAGAATGCATTCTTCATTCTGAATTGCTTTCTTCTTCCCTCTCCCGGTTTTTCTATGACGTTGACGTTCTAAATACCTGCTTTTGGTGGACCAATATGTGTTGTGTCCCAAGGTTGCATCGTCTTGGTGCTTCTTGCTGTTCTATACGCTGAATGATTCCGAGTTCAGGTTGTTGGTTCTCTCCGGAGATTCCGTTCCATCGTTCAGTTCCAGTGGGACGAGTAGATTGATGGGACGCCTGAGAATGTTTTTGTTCGGAATATGCAGTCCTACTTCTCTTACAGCTCCATCTTTTCCTGGCTTCAATGCCGATATTCTTTCCATCTTCCAGGTATTGCATGGCAAATTATCGTCGGCAAGCAGCACTACCATGCCTTCTCTCGGTTCGTGCTTTCCTGCACGCTTCCAATTCATACATTTCTTGTGCGCTTCTCGCAAGCTACGGAGGTAAGTTTTGTGCCATCTTCCAGAAATGTTTCGTCGCTCTGGGCGTGGATGCAAGGGCTTCCTTTGTTTGTCTTCTGGTTTGGAGAGGGAATAATTCTTCGGAGAGCAGATTATCTGTGTCATCTTTATCCTGTTGTAAGGAATCGGTTGGATAGGCAATTTCGATTTCTTTTACGATGAGATCGGCAGGACGCAAAGGTCTCAAGGCTTCGTAGTCTGCTCCTTGGTATGTCAGTGGTCGTGTAGTCAGTGTACCTTCAATCTCAGTCAGTAATGTCCTCAGCTCCTCCTCATTCAAAAGACGATTTCCAACGGCTTTGTAAAAGGAATGTTTTATCGATTTGATCAACCTGCCATAGAACGCTCTTTGCCACGGAGCGTATGGCGTGATGGTTGTCCATTCAATCCCTTTACGAGCCATTCTGGCTTGAAAGTCATCGTCATTTGTGATGGAGTGTATAGCATCTTAGAGTATTTGATCTCCCAGAACAAATTAAGGCCCATTATCTGAAATAATAGTTTTTGGTACTCCTCGACGATCAACAAATCTTCGAAGTGCTAGGAGCAGCTTGTCGGTTAACGTGTCTGTAACCACTTCTATGTGGATCATCTTAGTCGTCATGCATGTGATAATGATTCCATACACTTTGGTTTTGTCGTCATATTCTTTCGTAATAAGAATGGCGAAGTAGTCGATTCCAACATTTTCAAAAGGCTTGGTCCTTATAACGTGTCGTTTCGGCAGTGGTCCCATCGAAGATGGATATGGTAATGCGCAATGCGCATCTCTGATAATGCAAGATGCAAGTGGGGTCCTTGGGGCCACAAACATGGGTTGTTTCGCGGACTCAGGAATATTCGCATTGCCAAATCTTCCTCGACAGCGTAGAATGCCGTACCGATCTGGTTGGAGGTTGTGGTTTTTCAGGAAATGTTTGAGTTTTTCTGAAACATCGGTGCACTGATGCGCGCGTATAATGACTTGTAATGCACCTTTCCTTTCAGCTACCGTGATGAATTTGCCGTCCGATCATATCCTCAGTTCTGGAGCTTGCGTTGTTATTCTTGACGCAATTCCTCTTCGAACACGGCCACACATTCTCTCAAAAACTGTAGTGCGTATGCTACAGACGTCTAGGCTGAGTCAAGAGTTCTTTGCCTGCTCCGGTCCAAAAGTTCCACATCGCTAATTTTCCTCATGTTTGGGGTTGTTCCCCTGTTCAGAAACTTTTGTTGAACAGCTTCTATATTTTCTGTGTATTATTCTTCGAGAAGGGCCGTCAGTCGACGTTTTTCGAATCAACTTTTCTCCGGCTGTTTTAAAGGCACCGTTCACGACAAAAAAGTTATTGAGTTCTTACCTTATTAATACTCAGCGGCCCCCATGGGTTGTAGAAGGGTCCTCCTCACACCCGCAATTTCGACGTCCAGGGCATAATGGCGGGCCCGTTGTTGTCGTAATTCGCATCTCCGCCCCTCGACCGATGTCACGTTAGACGAGTGTCGAGACGACACAGTGTCATGTAATCGCGTCAGGACCCATCCTGAACTGCAAATTGGCAAATTGCCAGAGACGCAATGTGTTGTCTGCTATTGCACACAACACATTGCGCCTCTGGCAACTTGCCAATTTGCCGTCTCTGGCAACTTGCCAATTTGCCCGAACACTCTCTAACCGACGTTCTTTCAATGTGAAACTCGTCCAACCCCCTTTCCAGCTCTTTTTTGGCCCTTTGTAGTTCTTTNCACCGTTCACGACAAAAAAGTTATTGAGTTCTTACCTTATTAATACTCAGCGGCCCCCATGGGTTGTAGAAGGGTCCTCCTCACACCCGCAATTTCGACGTCCAGGGCATAATGGCGGGCCCGTTGTTGTCGTAATTCGCATCTCCGCCCCTCGACCGATGTCACGTTAGACGAGTGTCGAGACGACACAGTGTCATGTAATCGCGTCAGGACCCATCCTGAACTGCAAATTGGCAAATTGCCAGAGACGCAATGTGTTGTCTGCTATTGCACACAACACATTGCGCCTCTGGCAACTTGCCAATTTGCCGTCTCTGGCAACTTGCCAATTTGCCCGAACACTCTCTAACCGACGTTCTTTCAATGTGAAACTCGTCCAACCCCCTTTCCAGCTCTTTTTTGGCCCTTTGTAGTTCTTTTTGTTCGTCGTGTTTTGCGCTTTTTTCGTTGTTATCGCTTTATTCTAGAGTAGTTCTATCGATTTCCCGTCAAAAAAGGGTACCCTAACTTTTTTGTGAATGGTGCCTTTAAGAAATCAATTCCTTCCCACCACGAATGGGTCTCCATCTCCCTCGCCGACGAACCTTTTGTACAAACCTCTTGCTGTCTGCGGGATTGTCATTCATATTAACATGCCCAAACTGTGGTACAGTCTATATGGTCACTATTGCTCGAATTTCTACCACTCGATTCGTCACGAAACGACCGACAACTCTTTTGATGGGAAGTTGTAAGCCAATTGAGAACGATTTCGGAATCCGTGAAAATAACGAAAACTCGTAAAATCCATAAAAATAACGCACTAGCCGATCAGTTGAGGATTTCAGATGAAATCCTCAATTAGTCGACTAGTGCGTTGTATATTGTTTGTGCCATTCTTACTGCTACAATGGTAGCGTACATCTCCATCTTCGAAGTTGTAGGGTGGGCTTTCGCAGAGGCTAACATGGACCGTGCAAATACAAGGTGTGATTTGTTGGCTGTTTCTACATATGCACAGACTGTCATAGCTTGTGTACTTGCGTTGGCAAACACTGCAAGTTGACGCCTGAATGAAGAGGTGAAACTTCGTGTCGTGGAAGAGTTAGTTTGAAATACTCCATTCGGGTGGCTATTTCGTTCTACTGTACAGTGTGTTCTTCGGAAAGTTCCGTATCCCAGTCGCATCCAAGTAACCAAAGAAGTTGCAGGAACAGTTTGCCTCTCAATGTGAGTGGGGTTAGCCACCCCATGGGATCCTGAATGGACGCGATCTGTTACGATATAGTTCGTTTGGTGATCGTAGTAAAATAAAATTAAAATTAAAAATTAAAAT